TGAACAGTACAACCTTTGAGGAAGGTCACATCCATACCATAAATATACAGGGTTTATTGCATTACCTTCTGAGGTCAAACAAGTCAGGACCAATTGTCTTTTGAGCAGACCAAGGTGTTTAAGCAAAAGTTCAGCTAATGTGGAGTGTGGCTATAGTGATTCTCGGCTGTGGAGATCGGTGGGGACACTAGAAAGACTTCACATAGAGAGTAAATTAGATACAAATTGGTGTTGTAAAAATTGACTAGTTCAGAATTTCTTTCCTATCCCAGGAAGGAATCTTAAATTAGGCCTTGTCTGCCATCTTGGCGTTTCCAGTGGTTCCCAGTCCGTGAGCTGCAGCCAGTCATTGGTGCCTCCAGCATTCTAAAGCTCAGTCACCTCCCCCCCAGTTACCCACCTCGGTGATGTGAGGAGAGCCTAACGATCCTTAGGGGGAAACCAGCGGGAGAAATGTCTTGGCAGAGCTGTCAGTTTATTCTGTGGGCCAGTGACTTCTCAGTGGCAGAATTCTCACCTGCCATTCAGGAGACCTCGGTTTCAATTCCCAGTCACAGTGCCTCAAATAAGATCAAATGTCGCTATGATTTGGAACCTCCTAGGTGGCAGTGGGTTTGGTTTGGGGTTTGATATTGACATCAGGAATCCCAGTGTGATCTGAAACAGTTAATCTGCTTGCCTACTAACCAAAAGGTTGGCAGTTCAAGTCTACCTAGAAGCATTTTGCAGCCAGGTCTACCAGTCTACTTCCAGAGGTCACCGCCATGAAAACCTTGCAGAGCTCGGTCATCCACTAGCATTCCTGACATCTGCAGTTCCCCCTTTGCTGAAGGAAATTCATTGAGGTAGAGTTTACATACCCTAACTCCCCTAGTCTTAAATATACAACTCAGGGAATGTTAGTAAATTCACTGAGGCATGCAACAAATCCCCACAACACAGTTTGAGGGCATTTCCATTTTCTATCTAAGATTCCCCTAACCCCATTAATGGCTAATTTCTGTTCCCACCCCAAGCCGCTGGTAACCACTAATGTCCATTTTGTGTCTGTTGCTTTGGCTTTGAGACATTTTCTACATAGTCTACATAGAGATAAAGAGCTAGATGGCCCCTAACCTAAAATTTGTGATTCAAACCAATTTGTGAACCCATTGGGTCCATGGGAGAAGGCGGTCTGCCTGTGTACAGATGGCAGCCTAGAACCCTGTGGGGACAGTCTCCTCCGCCACCTGGAGCCAGTGTGCCTCAGAAGTGATTCATAGCACCAAAACTGAACAAAGGAATGAATGAGTGAAACAACAAATGAACACACACACACACATGAGGGGGCTGCAGAAAGTCTGGAGCTACACATGCTCTGTAACAGCTGATACTATTAACCAGCTGTTCATGTGGATTTTTTTTTCCCTTCTCACATTATCAAAGAGGAGATCAAAGACCACAGCCTACAGTATGGATTGCATCTCAAAGGAAAGAAAACAAAACTCCTCACCAATGGACCAGTAAACAACATCCATATAAATGGAGAGAAGATTGATGTTGTCAAAGACTTCATTTTGCTCAGATCAACCATCAACACTCATGGAAGCAACAGTCAAGAAATCAAACGATGTATTGCACTAGGCAAATGTGCAGCACCTCTTTAAAGTGTTCAAGAGCAAAGGTGTCAGTGTGAGAACTAAGGTACGCCTGACCCGAGCCATGGTATTTTCAATAACCTCAGACTCATAAGAAAGTTAGACAGTGAATAAGGAAGACCGTAGAATAACTGATGCTTTTGAGTTACGGTGTTGGAGAATATTGAAAGTATCATGGGCTGCCAAAGGAACCAACAGATCTGTGTTGGAAGAAGTGCAGCCAGAGTGCGACTTAGAGGCCAGGATGGCCAGACTTAGTCTCTCATACTTCAACATATTGTCAGGAGGGACCAGTCACTGTAGAAGGATGTCATGTTTGGTAAGGTGGAGGGTCAGAGAAAAAGAGGAAGACCCCCAGCGAGATGGATTGGCACAGTGGCAGCATCAATGGGCTCAAGCAGGGCAACATTAGTGAGGTTGGCCCAGGACCGGGCAGTGTTTCATTCAGTTGTGCATGACGTTGCTATGAGTCGGTGTTGACTCAATGACCTAATAGCAACAATAGCCTGTCTCCTCTTGAAATATCCTCGGCAGCCAAGATATTAACCTGCTGAATTATTTCCAGAAATTTCTAGCTTAACAATGACAGCACATGAAAGCACACTCACTATAATTCTATATTTGGGTGAGGGGAGGGGTGCTTCTTTTACAGATAACCAAGTACTTCTAAAACTTTGGGAAGAATTAGTCCTTCTATACTAGTAGCGTAGTGGTTACGAATCGGGCTGCGAACCTTAAGGTCAGCGGTTCAAAACTACCAGCTGCTCCGTGGGAGAAAGATGAGGCTTTCTACTCCCATAAAGATTTACACCCTCGGAAACCCTGTACAGGGTCGCTATGGGTCGGAACCGACTCGACGGCACTTAACAACAACAACATACTAGAATTGTAGGCTAACTTTCACCAGATCTGATAGAGCACAAGGCTCGTGTTTGCAGAAGCTCAGGCTATTTCGTCTTCTTTAGGGTTTTAGGTTCTTTCCTTTTTTGTTGAGTGGAGGGCAAGGCTCTACTGTCTAAAGACTTGTCTGCTTTCTCAGCTGGATAAGAAAAGCAGGCTATAGAATAATAACAGATTAAAACAAAATTCCCCAGCAAGACAATAGTGGAGCGAAGTCACCAACTGCAAGGTTAAACCAAACCACTTTCCCATCCAGTAGATGACTCATGGAGACCCCATGTGTGTCCAAGTAGAACTGAGCTCCTTGGGGTTTCCAATGACTGCTCTTCACAAAGTAGAATGACAGGTCTTTCTTCAGAGGTGCCTCTGGGTGGTCTCCGACCTTCAACCTTTCTGTTCGCCTCCAAGCACGTCAGCTGTTTACAGCTCTGCCAGGTTAGAGACACCAAATCTGCAGGATCAAGTTTTATTCAGCAGTGATGTGACTGCAAAGATAATTCATGAGCCTGAGTTCAGGGCCTGTTTGGGATGGATGATCGACTCCGGTAATTCACAAGCCCACGAACAGATGTAATTAGCTTCTTATGCTCACATGATAAACAGCTGCTTAATATCTCCCTGAATTAGATTGACCTCAGTCTGCAAAGACCGTAACTTCTGAGCTGTGTTGCTTGCTAAATCACTTTCACCCAGGTGCTGAGATGGACATTCCTTGCAACAGTGTCTGCAAGGAGCCCGCTCTAGGCTCGTTCTATTCGTCCCTGTCACTCACTCATCTTCCTGCTAATTGTAGGCTGTGCTACAAGACACATCAGAAACTTGGCACTCGTCAAACCATGTTCTATGCACCTGTTGCAAATTGAATTGTGCCCCCCAAATATGTGTTGCAGATGAAGGAAGAGAGAGGGCATGCCACGTGAAGACCGTCCAGCAGCAGAAATTCAGAAGAAACATAGCATCTCCAGATGTTTGCCCTGTCACCAAAAGTCAAGGAGAGGGTGACTTTTTGTTGTTTACTCAGATGACACTCATGGCTTTTCCTGTTTTCTTGGTTTGGTACCGGAGATTTGTGTCTTGAATGTTAACTGGATTGCAACCAAGCATACAGTGCTTCCCTGCTGGTCATAGTTCTAATTTAGTCAAGAGAAAGCAAACTCACAAAACGAAAATTCGTACCTTCCATTTGGAATGTTGAAAACACAGACATGGTTGAGGTAGTAGGTCACGTCTGAGGGCCTCTGGCGGCCGAGTCTGACTCTGACCCAGGTGTCTGTAGGTCCTGACTGACCTCGCGGCCTGACTGACCTCAGTATGTGAGTGCCCACACTCTGAAGTCTGAGGGTCAGACAGCACACTGAATGACACGCTGTTAGTGGGGCAGGGGCTCCAACAGCAGGAGGTATCACAGGGGCAAGAGAAGGGGAGAGACCTGGACACTCCTGAGAAGGGAGAAGGTGGCTTCCTGTCCCTCGAGGTCCTCTTGCAGCCAAGTGGGCTCTGGGTCAGAGAGCTCCAGGAACAGCCCTGTTGTTGTTAAGTGCCATTGAGTCGGTTCCGACCAATAGTGACCCTGGATAGGGTTTCCAAGGAGCGGATGGTGAGCTTGAACCCGCCAACCTTGCAGTTCTAACGGCTTTGCAGTCTGGCACATTAACCCACAGTGCCACACCAGGAACAGCCCTGAGTTGGATCTTATCTAGGGTGACCAGAGGTGGGCTGCAATTTCACAGAAACAGCAAAGCAGGCAGGCTCTAAGTGGATAGGAATTGGCCCATTGGAACTATTTTTAAAACAATTATTGTTGTTGTTAAGTGCCATCGAGTCCATACCAACTCATGGCGACCTTATGCATCACAGAACAAAACAATTAGATGTGTACAAATTTGAGTTTGGCACCCACGGGCCTTTTGGGCTAATGGGCCTCAGCTTGCAACGGAGAAATTGTGGGGGCCAGTGCACCCGAGGCTGGTTTAGGCTGGTTTCCATAGCAGTGGGATATCCGGTAGAGACCAGACAAGAGGTAAGTATGGATGACCAGGAAAAGGGCCTCGGGGAACCCACCCTGGTTTGACTCCCAGCCCACTCCTCACTGTCACCAGAAATTGACCTAGGCCCTGCCAAGGATGCCATAAACCGTATCAGTTGTTAAAACAAGCACCAAGCACTGAAGGAACTAAAGGGGCCGCCAGCTCAGAGGCCTGTTTTATGGGTCCGTACAACCCACTGGAGTTCGTGCTACCACCGCTGTGAGTGTGTGCAGCTCTTGTGACAAGGTGGCCTCTTACCTGGGCCCTGGCAACTCACTTCTCAACAGCTCTGAAGGAGAAGCAGGTGTTGCGCGGATGGTCACGGTTTACCTGGGTCTCAGTGAATGTCTGATTAGTTGTGCAGTTCTCAGCCTGAACAATTCTCAGAAAACACGCCTTTCTAACTCAGTCTCCCTCCTTCTGTCTTGTGCTTCAGGAGAAAGGACGCCGGCTTCCTGTCTTACAAAGACCATCTGCCTGTGAGCCAGGTGGTGGTAGGAGACACAAACCGGCCGGGCTCCGAGGCCAAGCTGAGCGTAGGCCCTCTACGATGCCAAGGGGACAGTAAGTTGGCAAGCGTCGCAGACGTGCTTTCTGATTGCGTTGAGCAGAATCCTGCTCCTTAAGGGTCCCTAAAGAACCATCAGGGAATGTGGAGTGCTGGGCTAGATACCGCTGGAGGAGGGCGCCCCTAGTCTCCACCCCTGGACCCTAAGTGTGGGCATCAAGAGTGGACACTCTCTTCCTGTGAATTCAGACAAACCGAGTCTGACACCTTCCTTCATGGTGCTATAAATAGTACACACGACCCTCAACAGCTGGACCGCCGCTGTTAATATCATTAGCATGACTATTTATATCCCCATCAACCACCATAAACTGAGTTTATGGTGACACAAATAGTGGAATTATGGCTTAATATATCATTGTAAACTTGGGCGCTGGCTCTAAAAAGTTTGAAGTGATCATTATCACATTCCACCCTCATCAGAGCCCAGAGCTGATGGGCCTTGGTAACCTCATTGTTTATATGCGTCTAACTTGCTCTCAGGATAAGGAACTAGGGCTGCTAGCTCACACAGCAGGAGCAGGGGGGCCTGCCAGGTAAGAACCCCAGTAGGATTTTATAATGGCCACTTCCCTTCATGCTGTATCTTCAGAAGGGGACAGCCAGTGATATGTTGCCATGGGAACTCTAAAGTGAACTGGCTGGGTCTCCTTTCCCCTCCTCTGTGGGCTTACAGGTAGGGTGGCTCCCTGGGGAGATGTCTGTGTGTATGATGTGTGCAGGACATCAGCAGACCCAGATTCTGGTCTTGTGTGACTGGCACCAGGAGACCTCAGGCAGGAAGCCCGTTTCCAGGTGTGGTCATGAGCTCCTCCCGGGTGGTCATCAAGGGTTGGTGCCTGCAGGTGGCACCCTCCAGGGAAAGTGTTTAGTGAGATGGATGTTTCCGCCACATCTGTAAACAAGGGGGGAGTACACCCAATGATAAATGATGGCACCCACTCCTTGCAGTGCTCTGGACTCAGTACCTCACACCTGTGGGCAATGAGGCAAGGCAGTGCTCCTGAACCAGGGGCAAGGGCGTGTGGGTGCGCCCGTGAAGGAAGGAGAGAAGAGCGCTGGAAACTGAGACAATCTGCAGAGAGATTTGTTGCTTTTCTGGTGAACAATGATGCCTCGTTGATCTAGCCATGCTTAGACACTTCTTCAGTAAGAAATGTAATTGTAGCTGCTTTAGAGAAAGAGTCCCGTTCATCACACGTGATTACTCCTCTTAGCATTTTACAATCGATCCACAGTATCCGCCTGGTGGCTTCTAACTCTGAAGTTAGTTCTGACTTAGAGAAGGTTCCTTCTAGTGGCCCACCTGCCCAGCAGAGATGTGGAACTCCTGCAAACCTCACCTGTTCTGAAGCTGAAGAGCCTATGAATGGCTTCTGGCCAGCATTGTCCTCTTTCCACCAACACATCAGTCCACTGGACGAACTCATTTCTGGCTGTTATTTGGTAGCACTTTGCTAGATATAATCTGGGGAATAAGGAAAAGAAGTTTAAACCACATTTTGTGAAATGCATATGAAAATCTAGGTGGTGTGATGGGAATCGATGATAACCAATACTTACAGAAGAGGAGCTAGATGGTCTATTCCAGACTTTATTTTGGTTTAAACGGCCAACTTTGGGGAAACTCTGGTGGTCAGTGCCCATTTCGGTCCCAAGGTTGATGCTCTTGGAGACGTCTTAGGGCCCTTGATTAAAAAAAAAAAAAAAATCAGCTGTTGTATTTATCAACACTGCACAGCAAAGGTTGTTGTTGTTGTTGTTAAGTGCCATCGAGTCGGTTCCGACCCATAGCGACCCAGTACAGGGTTTCCGAGGGTGTAAATCTTTACGGGAGTAGAAAGCCTCATCTTTCTCCCGCGGAGCGGCTGATAGTTTCGAACCGCTGACCTTAAGGTTCGCAGCCCGATTCGTAACCACTACGCTGGTGGCCCTGTGGTATTGAAGCTTCACAGAGATGTATCTTAATGATGATCTTTCCAGTTGGTTTTATAATTAAATGACATTATGCTTTGTTGGAGTCCTGGTGTGGCACTGTGGGTTTATGCGCCAAACTGCAAAGTTGTTTGAACTGTAAGATTGGCAGTTCAAGCTCACCAGCTGCTCCTCTGAAACCCTATACAGGGTCACTGTGGGTCAGAAATAATTTAATGGCACTTAACAACAACAACATGCTTTATTACTCCTGACTGGTCTCTGTACAAAAAGAGATGTTGGAGCTTCAAAAAGTTTGTGTAAAACTTGTAGTATCTTCCCCCCACCCCACCCCACCCCACCCTTAGGTTACAGCTTGTTCTAGACCAGATGTAAAATTACAGCTCGTTCTAGACCGGATGTAAAATTGCAGCTCATTCGAGACCGGAGCTAAAATCCGTGCCGTGTTAAGCTTATATAGGTTATGGGTGTTCTCATGTGCCATCAAGTCAACTCACAGTGGCCTAGTATAGAGTTCCTGAGAGTGGCTGGTGGGTTTGAACTGCTGCCTTGTGGTTGGCAGTCCAGTGCTTATCCTACAGCTCCACACCAGGTTATGGTTAGGACTCTGGTAGCGTAGTGGTTACGAATCGGGCTGTGAACCTAAAGGGGTAGGGGTAGGAATTGGGCTAGGGTGGGAAAGTGGGGCGTGGTCTACTTTTAGGAGTACTGTTAAGTTTACTTTTATTTGTTTTTAATTGGATTTGTTTATTGTTCATACATTAATTTAGCCCTTGGCTAATCTTCTTGCAAAATATCTGTTAGGTTGTCTGCCCATTTCCTAGTAGACGTTCTAATTCATCCCTTAAAGAGTTTCTTTTGTTTTCTTCTTTAATTTATTGAAGTTTTCTCTGTGGTCCAACCTATGGTCTGTTCTGGAGACTGCTTCATGCACGCTGGGAAAGAAGTACCTTGCGCTATTGTTGGGTGGAGTGTTCCCACATATTCCCGAGGTCAGGTTGGTTGATTGTGCTGTTTGGTTATTATGTACCTTTATTGAGTTTCCCTCAATAAAGTGCCATTGAGTCAGTTCCAACTCATAATGACCCTGTATAGGGTTTCTGAAGAGAGTGGGTTTGAACCACTGACCTTATGGTTAGCAGTCCAGTGCTTACCTGATAGTGCCACACCAGAACTCTAAGAGATTTCCTCTTGTTGTTCAATTTTTCCATAAACTTTGTGAAACTCATAAATATGGAGCTCTAGTGTGGCATTGTAGGCTAAGCACTGGACTGCTAACCACAATTTGGTGGGTCAAATCTATCAGCTACTCCTCAGAAACCCTACACAGAGTCACTATGAGCTGAAATCAACAGTTTAGGAATTTCTCAAAAAGTTAAACACAGAATTATTATTATTTGTGTTGTTACGTGCTGTTGAGTCAGTTCTGTACAGGGTTGTTGTTGTTGTCAGGTGCCATCGAGTCGGAACCGACTCATAGCGACCCCATGCACAGCAGAACAAAACAATGTCCGATCCTGGGCC